AGCCGATTACACAAAAAGAATCCGGCACTTATTTTAGAAAAACGAGAAGTTGTTCAAAACTCAAAGGTTGGCCAATAGTGTAGGCCGATTAGATTTACATTACGTTTTGCTTTAGGAAAAAAACATTTTTAAATCCCTGAGTTTGACTACGTTCTAAAAATTAAGAAAAGACGGCAATTAAGCGATGCGGCAAAAGACCATATTCATGCGATGAGCCCCGCAACTGACTCTTACAGCAAGGGAAAAGTTTGTTTCCCCAGATTCAATAAAATATCAAGAAAATGGACGAAAAAATAGGAACTTAAAATCTCTTCACAAGGAAATCCTTATATAGGCAAGGCATGGCAATGCTCGCGACAGCATTGGTTCATGTATGCTTACTGTTTATTGTATTTTACGAGAAAAAAATAAGTTAAAGGTTTTGAGCTGGCGGAAAACTTTTTAACGAACTAGTACATTGGTACATAATCTAATACTTTCAACTACTTCGTGCATACTTCCATCATGCGAATTGATATAATTGAGCTAACTGTACGCATGATTGACAAGTTTCCATATTACATGGCTGCAGCACCATAAGCTAATCAACGGATTATAGCACTTTTTAAAGTAAGTACGGGCCATTTAGTGTAGATCTCCTAGTTCGAAGATGCAACCGGATTTTGTTTGTAGAAAAGCTGTTTAGTTGGCCGTCTCAAATAAAAGCAGGTTTTTGTCCAAGGAGTTCAGAAGGGATGCTGTTGACGATAATAATCAAAGTTTTAAAGACCTTATTTTAGAATAAAAATCCAACACAGATCATATGTATTCTAGCTGTGGCCAATGTCTTCAAATAAGTTTGCCTGTTTCTAAGCCTCATATTACAAGTAATTCAAAGTGATCTTCTTTTTCAGGATTTCATCAATTGAATTCTGGCCTTTATTAAACCTCGAAATCTAATGAAAAGAGAATGACAAATGGCAATGTTCCTGTGATTCCAGTCATAAGCCAACTACACAAGCATTTCACAGCAAAATGTTGTGTTATTTCCAGATGAGATTTTGCGTTTAGCATGTCACTCGAAACGTCGTGCGTTGTGATTTTTATATTGATGTTATTTGGTAAAATGTTGCTCTTGCAGTGCAAAAGGCTAGTATCCACCGAAAGAAAAACGCAAGATATTTCTCTTCAATTTTCTTTTCGACATCTAGGATCGACGAGTTAGGGAAGCCGCAATTAAAAAAGGCAGGCGCTTCAAAATTTGCAAGGTTTTGATATTACGACGCCCTCCGTATGAATTTCTGCAAACTGATATGACAACACCTAGGGTTTTACATTAAAATACTGATTTTTCAAGATAATTAGCATTAGCCTAGGGCGCAATAAATCGACCTGACATACCCCTGTCATTTGGCCATTCCGAGCTTGGTAGTGTGACGCTATGGAACGTGAACCTCTTCGCAGTTCATGTTGACTTGTGTGTTGAAGTCTATATCGATCATAGAACGTTTTTAATACCATGTTTACCTGAAATACACATGAGGGAAATATGACAAGAATATCGTTACTCCAAAATACAAATACCTCTTTATTGGTGAAGCAGTAAATGATAGTAATCATAAGGCCCTGATACATGTACGTGAACGAGGCAAGATACGTCCATATGGCAAATATCT